AATAAGGTCCCATGGAGCTCCCCCGGAAACGGGAGGGACTCCACCTCTCTATAGTGGAAACGGAAGGAGTATGGTTGAAACCATAGACCAGGGTTGCGGTCGAATAGTCCATTTATCTTGGGAACCTTCCTAACGGAGTGAAATGACCTGGAAGTCCGTCAGTGGCAGCCATGTTAAGTGCCGTTCGAGTTCTCCAAATGAAAGGAAAGGAGGTTTCAAACTTCCTTTATAACCTCCTTTAGCTTAGGAACCACTGGACCTCCCTTACCGAAAGGAGAGGAGAAAATGCTGCCCCACAATGCCTTGCAGCAGCAGCATTTGACGTCACACAACAGTCGGCCGTTCACGGACAAAAACGATTATGACGGAGAAATTATTTCATGAAAGTTACGGTGCTTATTAAGCTTTTTAAAACGTATGTGGTAAGTTGCCAAAGTGCTTTGTTTTGAACGTTCATCAGTATTATAATCAAAAAGAGAAATATGAACGTTAGTTTTTACTGAAATGATCAAATAAAGTCAACATTTCACTGAGCTGTGTGGGGTTTGTTCAACTTTTAAAAGATGTTTGAATGGTGATTACACAGTGATAGATGTTAAGGACTAACGTTTATAATAAATACATCTGTATTGATTTTAAGATCTTTTCATACAATCATACGTATTGGGATCATTTGTATTAATGTGGACCGGAGGGAGAGGGTGACGAGCATAAGTTTCACTTTTTTATTTCAATTCCAACTTTGGTCATGAAGAATATGTTTCTCTGTTGTTCATAAAGCATAAAGCAACAGCATCAGAGCACGATGCAGAGTCTCTAGATGAGTCTCTCCTTCTTATTAAACATCCATGTTGTAGTCCGCTGTATAGCACACTGTAGTTTCCATAGTTTCCCCACAGCAGCAGACGCACACAATGACGTCCGCTGGCGCATCATAAACACGTCAGATAGTGAAAGTGCATTCGGTTTCTCTAAAGTACCGCAGTCTCTTCTCCTAAGTCCTTTTGGATTCTCCTATCCACTATCCCTTAACCCCGAGACCTTTCACTCAGAGGTCAAGGGATAGACGATAGGGTTAGAATTTAGGAGCTGATTTTTGGATTATCCGAACGCAACCATGGTTGAAACGGTCATTATCGCGCTGTGATTGGCTCAGAAGGTCGAGCGGGGCGGGTTCATTCATAACTTCGAAACTCGCGGAAGTGATTTCAAAACAAAAGCACTCGTTTGCTTGGAACGTTGATAATATTATAAACAAGGGGAAACAAGGTGAATTTAGCGATCAAAACGAAAACGAACAACATTGTTAGGAGATTTAAACTATACAGAGATTCTGCACTGCGGTCACTCAGCCGTCTCTCCACTTTGTTCTTTCAAATCAGCTGCTCTTCATTTGTCTTTTTACAAATATTTGTTACCGCAAGTTCTTAATAAAACTGACTCTGTTGGACTCTGTATTATTTTTGACAGCTACTAACAATACAATGAAGTACTTTCACTGTGTACTTTTTGAGTAATCCTCAAAGTCCCCTCCTGAGAATGCATGTTTCTCTACTATTTTGAATAAGCTTTAAAACACCTTTCTTCATGAGATGTTTAGTTGGACAGAGTATTTGAAGAGGATGTACTCCAGCAGCAGCATTTTACACCATGGAAATTCTTTAGAGACTGGCCTGGATAGCAACTATCCTTCAACACCTTGTCACTCTCGTTGGCCTCTTATGAAGCTGCTGTCTTTTAAATAGGATTATTTCTCTGCTCCTAGTTAATTAGATTCTTCCATCAGTCCCAGTCATTGCATGTCCGTCAATAGAGCTTCGAAAAGTGTGTCCAATTCAACAAAATGTTTTTTTTGTGAGCCAGAGCTAAATTATAGATTGTTTGATTGTGTACTTACAAGGTGAGAGAAAATAAATTCACATCCTCCTATTAAACGTATTTTATTTACTTTTCCATTATAATTACTTGTATTAGACAGGGTTCGTTAAAACCCTGGAAAGAAATGGAAATTCAAAATACTAATTCCAGGCCCTGGAAAGTTTTGGAAAACAATATTTTTCCCAAAGTTTTGGAAAAGTCAAGGAAATGTAACTAAAATTGCATAAAATATAATTTATATTTTATCTAATCGCCGAAATAGTAATACTATAATGATAATACATACTCTATGGTATAGTAATGAAACGTAAAATGGCTTTTAACTGTCGAGGTGTTTTGCTGGTGAGAGATTTTAGTTGCGTTAGCCTGTAGAAGCTAGTAAGCTATTTGATTTGTTTTAGATAGGCACAACATGTTTCAGACCTTATTCTCCTGTTCCATGTTAAAATAAACCATTTTCAGTGGTACCGCTGAGAAAGAGTAATGTTTTTTGGTCATGGAAAATTAGGTAAAGGTCCTGGAGAAGCATTGAAAATGATTGGAGAAAAAGTGTATGAACCCTGGACTATTACCAAGACTAAAAATGACATGTGTTGTTTAAGAAGTATTTTGACAAAGACTGCATTAAATGATTATATATTTCCCCTTCTTTCCTCCTCTCTTTGTTCTCCTCCCACAGCGTTCAGGCCATCTTCCCGACCCCAGATCCCGCCGCTCTGAAGGACCGACGAATGGAGAACCTAGTGGCCTACGCCCGAAAAGTGGAGGGAGACATGTACGAGTCGGCCAACAGTAGAGTAAGTTACTCTGGCCTTTTAGCTCAGTGTGTTACTCAGAAAGGGAAACACGTTTGCCTTTTTTAATTGTGAAGCTTTAGCCAGAGTCAAATCAACTTCCCAAATCACATTGTTGGACGTAGGAGAAAATCCAGAGCTTATGATCTTCACTTGTTATTACTTTTTGCTGCAGATAAATCCTCTCTGTGTGTTTTTAAATTGTTGCTAACTTCTCTGTTTTCCTCAAAAAACATACTTTAGATATTCAAAGTTATATCAATAATGTGACATAAGACTAGATCTAGTCTCAGATTTTGTTATCATAACATATGTGTTTTATAAGCGGCATAACGAGTGATACCACATTGTGACTTTACCTTCTTAGTGATTATATACAAATCAATACTGAATCTTTATCCAAACCAACAGTCAACTTCTACTTCTCTTACATGTTTGGGAAATTCCCCCTCCTGGCCACATTTTTTCTTATTTTCCTACCATCTTTCTGACAGGCGGAGTACTATCACTTGCTGGCCGAGAAGATCTATAAGATCCAGAAGGAGCTGGAGGAGAAGCGGCGGACGCGGCTCCAGAAGCAGGGCATCGGCATCGGCCTGGGTCCGCCCCCCGTTGGCCTTCCTCCAAGTGAGTCCACACCCAAGCCCCCAGGAAGTGCGCCGGACTCTGAGGAAAATATTCGTTGTGGCCAAACGGCGTTACTACACTTCCGTATCAGTCGCTGGGCCCGGAAAGACTTTTTCCCCACAGAGAGGCGAAGTCCCGCCCATCTACTTCCGACCCATTGGACCTTATTTAGGAAATATTATGTATTGAAGTCAATGGGGAGAGAAAGATTATCTTTCGATCCCGTTTGAATCGTGCCACGAATTCCACATATGATGTTTGTCAATCTTAACAAATAATTTCCATGTCAAAAAAGTCACAGTTTGTCGTAAAACTGTTGAAATATAAGACTATGAAAAATACGCAACTAGAAAGACTACAAATCCCAGAGTCCCGGTCCCGCATGCTGGCTCTTAGGAACAGACTAACTCCCCTTGTGTGTGTGTACAGCTCTCAACATGCCCAGACTTAGAGTGACTTTCACCTCTTTTAATACTTTCCGCCTCATTCTGAAAGAAAGAAGTGAAATGTGCCAACGTGACGGCCGTCTTGGTGTGTGGTGCGAGACGGGAGATGTAGTTCATTGAGCGGTTTCACACAAACAAAATGTGTTACCACACATTTTAATTTTTTTGACTTGCAAAATTATCTTTTAAATTGACAAACATCATATGTGTAATTCGTGGCACAATTCAAACGGGATCGAAAGACAATCTTTCTCTCTCCATTGACTTCAATACATACTTTTTCAGAAATAAGAACCCATGGAGGTCCACCGGAAAGGGAGAGACTTCACCTCTCTATTGACTAACATTGGGAAAGAGACGTCTGTAAATCGTTGGATAATTGTTTTTAAACTAAATAAACTACCCAGTATGAACGTTTGTATAGCCCTTATTAAAAACATTCGGTCCTCAAGTTGTAAAATGTGCTAATAACGTTATTCTGAGAGTTATGTTCCTCTGCATTATGAACGCGCATCTAACCCACGGGACCGCGCCGCCCGGCACGTTCACGTGACGTGTTCAGCACTACATGAGTTTTACCTTTACCCATGGATGCACAATAAGAACGGATTATATGAATACTTTCGTGACGTTTCGCTCTCTCAAAAGTTTGGCCATTTTGTTTTCATGCGTCAATGAGCAACTCTCATAGGAATGAACGAGGCCCCGCCTCCCACGCTGTATCCAGTTCTTATTATACATCCATGGTCCACGCAGCTTTAGATTCAGATTCCTTTATTCCTTCACTACACAGAGTACAGCGAAATTCAAAGCATTCCCGATAGTGCAATCACACATACAGTATAAGTGTCAGTTTGACATTACAAGCTAAAACGTTTAATATATATTATATAAAGTGACTATAAATTGGACCTATGAAACATGCATGCTCACGATATGCCGGGCAGCACGCATTCACGTGAATGATGATTTAATCCAGGGGAATGTGACGTTAGGACATCTAAGCATTGTTTTGTAACTCTTATCTTATCTTACCTCGTGCTTTGAGATTTTAAGCAAGCCATGATATGGGACTGCAAAAGTTGTCATCTTAATTCATATTTCTGCAGCATTAAGTGGAGTTTTAAGGCTCATTGAAGTCAATTTTCACAACATAGGTTAAGATCCTGACACCTGATCTTAAATGTTACAGAATCAACGGTTTCCTCCATTTTTTTGACATGCATTACACTTTTTTAAATGTTTCTTCGCTGTCCTGATGGTCCCCTGAATACAGAAGCTTGTGCAGATTTGTTCACATCACATTTTACACACATTTTTAATTAACTGTCCCACACGGCAGGCAGCATTCCAGAGTTGGTACAAAGCTCTCCACACACACTTGGTCGGGACATCTCCACCCCTCCTCCTCTCCTGTGCTCTCCAGATGACAACTTGATTTTTTATTTTAAATCTCTTGTCTCTGTTTTTCAGACGGTCCGCTCCCTGACCCATCAATGGTTCGACCCCCTGGACCAAATCAGATGGTCAACAGAATGCAAGTCCCAGGTAAACAAACACAAGACATCATGACATATTAGTTAAATTCATCAGTTAATGGTCGGACTTAATATCTGATAAATGTCTCTGTTGGTTCAGCCGAAAAGACAGAAACATTTTTTTCACAGGAAATGTTTCCACTGCTCCATTTTAATTAAAAAAATGTTGCAAACATTTTTGGGGAAAATGTTGCAAAACAAACCACATTTCTGCCCTTAGAGCCATCTAGAAACAAAATACAATATAAGTGTGGTTTTCACATGAAATTGTTATTTTGTGTTGTTTCAATAACAATGTGTGTTTTCTCAGGAATGAATCAGTTCAGTCAGATGGGGATGCAGTCGATGGGCCAGAGGTCTCCTCTCCCCATGGGAACGTCTGGCAACCAGGTCAGTCCTGAACACACACCTTTATCACATAGTTACGTTTTTAATGTGTCGATTAACACAATAAGGATGTCACTTAAGGTAATGTACGTTTATTTTCAGACACAGTGGCAATTCAAAGTGCTTTACATCAACATTAGTGTACACCGGAGTACTTTTCCCGTTCAGTTCCGATGGTTCCTAGGATTTTGCGTTCACACCAAAAAGAGAACTTAGTTCATGAGAACTTTTCCCCCCTTTTTAGTGCCTGCTAGAGAGCAGGTACTTTAGCCCAGCGCACCAACGGAGAGAGACTAACTTATGGCAACACAAAAGAAAACATGGGAGCGGTGGAGATGAGGAGGTGTCGGTGTTCTGGCGATTTACTCGGAAGGCTTCAGTAGAAGCTGCTGGGAGTCCCAGCAGCTTCTACTGAAGCCAGTCCCCAACTCCGGGGACTTCCGGCCGGGGACTTCGGGTGGCAGTATACGCCGTGAAGTTGTTTGCGGCCTGCCAGTAAACCCAAAGCAGCAGAAGAAGAAGAAGAAGTGACGTCAGCGGCTTCATTTGCCTAATCCTCCCTCAGGGAACTTATTCCGGTGTGAACGCGATCTTTTCTTAGTTCAATGGGGGTTCTACGTGCTGGGAACTAAGTGCGGCAAAGTACTTGGTGTGAAAGCGGCTATAAAGAAGACAAAAGAAAGGAACACAATAAATAAACACTATGGAATAACAGATTCTTAAGAACCATGCATAAAAGAGATGCAGACATTGTAAATACAGTAGGTGCTAAAACAAGTTAAGACTTCTGGTTAGGAAGCTAAAAAAAGTACGGTATTTAGCCTCGATTTAAAAGAACTCCGCGTTGGTGAAGACCTCAGGTTTTCTGGAAGTTTGTTCCATTTTAGGGGTGCATAAAAACTAAAAGTTGACCTAAGTTGAAGTGTCTTTTCATACAGTAGCTTCCAGGGTGTAATGTTCAAACATTTGTTGTATGTAAATCAAAATAAATGTTTGTTGTTACAAAGTCGGTTAAGAAAATGCCACTTTAACTAGTAACTATTGCATGCTAGAAAAAAGTGTTTAACCCCTGCCCTTTGATGTTCCAGATGGGAATGGTGGGTCCACGGATGGGGCAGCCGAATGTGAACCAGCTGCAGAACCAGTATCTGACCCAGGGTCAGTTTCCTGGATCAGGACCAGGAGTCGGAGCAGCTCAGAGCGGGATGGCTCAACCTGGAGCTCAGGCAGGGCTGGGACAGGTGAGACGGCCTGAAGTCATTCACCTGTTAGTCAGAGAGTTATGATCAGGGGGATGTGGCACGGCGCACTCAGGATTAAGTCTTTTGTATAGGAAAGATTCTTAGGATACAGATGAACTAACAATCAGTATCTACATTTTTGTACATATATTGCATCATTTGGAAGGTTAAAATATGATGTTGAATAGAAACAAATAAATGAAATGAGAAATGATTTTAATTAATGAAAAAATGATGTTTATATAGGGCAGCGGTTTTCAAAGTGTGAGGCGCGCCTCCCCTGGGGGGCGCCAGAGAGCTTCAGGGGAGGCGCAGCGTGAGACACAAAAGAACGAGAAAAAGACGAGTAAAGTGACACTTGCCCACTTGTGGCTGTCTGTGGACACCGAGTTCCCCCACCTCGCCAAAAAGGCTGTAAAAGTGCTCATTCCCTTCACCTCCACCTACCTGTGTGAGTGCAGGTTTTCCGCATTGACTTTGATCAAAAGCAAGTACCGGTAAAGGCTGCAGCCAGAGTATGATCTGCGTTTATTCCTCTGTGCATCAAAGACGCAGACTCATTGTTCCCACTAAAGTAGGGGTGAGTGTAATAAGGAGGCAAAGTTGACGTTCAGTGTGTTGCCGGGAGCATATAAGGATTTATCCACCATGTTGGAAATTTAAAAAAAAAGATGTCTTGAGAACACGGCGTGCGGAAATATAGGTCGTGCTGCAGCTAGATGTGCCTGTCCTCTGTAAGAAGGTGTCGGCGACTGACATGCAAGGAAGAACGGCTGTCCACAGGCTGTTCCAACTTTTACAACTGTATTAACTTTCAGGGTAGTGAATTGAACATGCAATTGTAATTGGGTGTGTGGTATATTTTCATGCACGGACACGCATGTTCCACAACACACAAACTGAACAACACTCAATTTTCCGATCGCTACCAGTGTCCTTGCGATCTTGTTATAATAACAAGTGCACGTTACTGATGCAATATGGTTGAGACCATTCGGGCTTATTCTAGAGGGGTGCAAGGAATAGTCCAAGTAGTGGGGGAGTTTTATACAATATGTTTAAAACATAAAAATAAAAAGGTTTAAAAAAGTTATTGTTTAATGTTTTAAGGAGGTGACGCTACTCAGCCAATCAAATCGCTGCAGTCAGCACGATAGATTCAAACACACACACACAGAGACGAGACAAGAGGAGAGAAACAGTCGGAGTAATTTCAAATGGTGGAAGGTAGACAGCGAAAACAGAGCATTTAATTACATTTTCTCTTACTGGACCTCTTTGAAATGCAATTGAATACCCCTGCATTATAGCAACAACAACAATAATAATAATAATAATAACAGCAATAATAATTGGGAGGGGGGGGCGCGGCTGTTCTTATGTTCTCTGAGGGGAGGCTCACCTACCCACACTTTGAAAACCCCTGATATAGGGTATCCGCGGGGTCTTAAAAAGTATTAAACGGCATTTCCCAAGGTATTACATTTTGTAGCTTGTTTTCAATAAGTATATGAATTGTCCAAAGAGGTTGTATTCTACAGTCTGCCTGAATGTAATCATTGCGTAGGTGTGTAGTGTGATTCTGTGGAGTTTATTTATGGCATCCCGTTGGATTTGACGTCATCTGAACA